TGACTAAAGTGAAAAGAGAGAATGATTTCTAGCATCTCCTGTAAAACAACAAAATTTTGGAAGTTGCAAGCACTCATATGAATACTGTTACCCATACCAACCAATTATCTTATAATATTTTCTGGATTAAAGTTGTTATTTCACAGGAGGTATCTTTAAATTGCAGAAGTCCAGATGTCTGAGAGGACTTCTACAGTTTAGGAAGGGGGCAGGGCACAGCCATTCAGAGATGACACAGCAATTAACACCAAGATGGTGGAAAATTCAACTCCCAACAGGCCTTGAGGCCCGAGATGGCACGACATTTGACTTCCAGTAGACTTGAGCTTCATTATAAACTCACTGCAATGTATTAGCATTGTAAATGAGACTCCCACAGGCGCTGTGACAGTTTCGAGGCTAGCCATAAATGGTCAAAAAGTGGCAGTGGCCCAATCCTGGGAATCCCAGCCTCATCTCTAAAGTAGTTGGAATAACCCTCCCATTGGTTAGCATATGAAGCTACACAGCGCACAAAAACTAACACTGCGCCTTGTGGCCTCTCAGTCCTGCGCCTCGGAGACAGCCCACACTCTGCCTGTAGATGTGTTTACTTTTACTCTAAACTGAGTGCCTGACCCCCACACCTTGTGGACTTTCTCTTACCTTCTGCAACAGCCTGCACTCTATCTATGGAGTATGTATCTCTCTGAATAAATCTACCTTTGCTCAGCTGTGGCCCACTCTTGAATTCTTTCCTGCGTGAAGCCAAGGACCCTCACCTGGGGGGGGCGCATCCCAGGGTCTCAATTGAGACCTGGGACATGGCCATCCTCCCACCCCACATTTCTTTTCTGTATCATCTCCAAGGGGGGCATCTTACAGGCGACTTCACAAGAATGCTTTAATGCTTACTAAACACAGAATGGGATGTTTATAGTTTTTCAGCTTTATCAACAAAAAGGAAATCCTAAAATTTCGATTTGCTATGTTTGAATCAGAAATAATCACGTCTGCCTTAGAATGCTGAGGACGAGATAAGTTAACACATCAAAGGGCACTTAGTAATTGCAGATGGATGCGAGACAGGCTACAGAGGTAAGCTGTGAGAGTTTGGAATTTATCCTGAGGGGAAAAGAAAATCCACTTGAGGGCTTTCCACAGGGAGAACCAAGGTCAGATTTGCCTTCTAGAAAAACCTTTCTGGACAGAGAAAAAACTGGAAACTCTTGCCTAAGAGGCAAGGAGACCAAGTGGGAAGCTGAGATGCCTGCGCCAGGATGGGGGCAGCGGAGTGGACTGAAGGGAGGCAGAACCTGTAAACCAAGTGCCAGAGTCCTGAAGACTGCTACTGAACACTTCACTCCTCTCCCTCCTGGCGTACACGCTGCCCCTCTGAGGTCAGCTGTGGCCACGTAACTTGTTTAGCCAGTAAAAAGATGAGATTACTTCCAAGTGGAAGCTTTAAAAACCAGTGCACAATTCACCATGTCATGAAACCAAGAGAAAGATGGTGGCTCTGTCAGCCTGGATCCCAGAGTGAAAATGACATAAAGCAGAGTCCCCACCCCTTCCCCAAACCAAGCTGAACCTGGATCTGTGTCAAATAGACAAACAAACCTTTGCTTTTAACCCACTGAGGTTTGGGGGTTGTTACTGTAGCAGAATTTAGCCTATCCTGAACTGAGGCAGTAAGAAATAGTTACGGAGATATGTCCAGATAAGAACAGTACTTAGGAACACACACAGACTACAAGTCTAGAAATCTGTCTTAATGTACACTCATACATATGGATACAAGATTACATCAAAAACATTGGGGGGGGGGGGGCTTTAACCATCTCCCAGAAGAAACGAGTGAATTTTTAAAAGTGGAAAAAACTTAAATACGTACTTGAGAAAGTATATGTCTTATGATCTAAGACAGACTTGATATTATAAAGTACTATGTACTTACTTTCCATTTCAATAATGAGTTTCAAAAGTGAGTGTCAGTTTGCTTACCCTTTTTTTAATCACACATGGGAAAAGAACAAAAATACAGCTAAGAAGAGATAGGAAGAAAGGGAGAGCCCCTTTCTTTCTTCCATATACTCACCTTTTACAATCACCTCCTGTATCTAAAATGTAAACACCATTACCTCCACCACTAACCATAATAATTGCTAACAATTTTTGAGAATTGAGTAGGTACCCAGCAAACACTCCATGTTTCCCTGCATTAGGTTATTTCAGTCTCATAACTCATGAACTAATCAAGGACGGTCTAATTCCAAAGCCTGTGCCTCTCATGACCCCTATACCTCACTTCCTCTTTGAGGCAGGCCCAGATAAGTTTCTTTTATCATGGGCACTGATTAAAGATCAATCAATGTGGACACTGAAGATGAGTTTTAACTGTAAAGGGGGTGGGGTGGGTGGGGGAAAAGGATAACTTAAAGATAGGCAGGAAGAAGAAAACAAAAGAAACATGTCTGGAAGAGGGACAGTTGTGGGCAGCCAGAAGGGTATGAGGGCAGAAAGGGTGGACACAGAATGAAGTTCTGTAAGGCAGAAGGGAAAGTTGGGCTAAAAGAAAAATCAGCCTAAACTAAGCATTCTTTTCACTCACATACGCTGGGTGAATTCAGTAAGCTGTTTTGGTTGAAAGAGCTACTAAGCAGATAAGTTAGTAACAGAAATGAACAAGATGTAATAGACTATATCCAATGGCTCCACAACCCACCCTGTTTATGGCCAAGAGTGAGAATTTCACGTGGTCTGAGGCACTTTTTCAGCCAATCTGGGGTCTAAACCTCAGCTCCACCCCTTGGCAGGTGGGTGATCTTGAACAAGCTCCTGGATGGTTGACCCTCCATTTCTTCCTCAGTAAAACTGGGCCAATAATACCTATTTCAAGAGGCCATTTTCCTTTTTTTCATTCTTTTCTCTCAGTTCCACAAGGCCAAATTGAGAACTGCCCCTTGTCAAGTTCGGTTTCAATTACATAATTACCTTAAATTATTTCCAAATACAACGCAGAATTTCTAACTCACATCTTTAATATGTTTAAGAGATGACTTTAAAAATCTATTTGATTTTTAATTAATAAACAGTTAATGAGTCCAGTTATACACTCAGGACTATACACAGTGAAGAAACAGAGCCCCGGGTTGGGTTGAGATCCTATCTTTAAACCACAGTGTAAAGTTTGGTTCTACCATTTATTTAGTACCTAGGTGACCCTGGGTTCTAACCATAGTAACTATCCCAAAAGGCACCTGTGAGTGTTTGTTAACCCAGGTTTGGCTGCGTGTATTTATTTTACGTACTCATCTCAATTATCCTATGAAGGAGGTACCATTACTTGACCCCATTTTGCAAATAAGAAAATGAACCACAGAGAGGGTAAGCGATTTGACCGAGGACAATAGATTCCACAGGGACAGCAGAACTCCGGAGCATCAGCCCTGTGCTCCAGGATATTAGACAATAGCCTTTAATATAAGCATAATCACCTTCTGCAGGGCTAGTTTAAAGATTAGAAATAATATGTGGAAAGAACCTAGGATAGTAGGCACAAGGTAGGGGGACAAGAAAATACACAGTAAGCCACACAGGAGAGTTGAGCAAACTAACAGAACCAAACTATTTAGGTTCCGTGGTGTCAACCCTCTTTCAAAGTCTTAGGATATTTGATCTATATTAGGTTGGGTCAAGGTGCATGTTTATAGGTGGCTGTAAAGAGGTAAAAATTTAAGAGAGAACATACCAGACTACCTGTAAACACCAAACTTTATCTGCACAGAGAACTCCTTATCTATTTCCATGCCAAGCGTCGCTGTTCGTTAGAATCAACGCAAGATTTGCAAAAGGCATTTACAAAGAAAAGAACAAAAAGAAAAGATCTTAATTTCGTCACAGCTAGGTTGGTTAGAATTATTGTTAGAACAAAAGAAGAAAGTTTCTAGAGACTAAAAATTTATTTCTGAAACAAAACAATGTGTCAGATTCACTAACATAAAATATGTTGGCTCCTATCAGTCTTGAGTGCTAAATCTCTCGACTTCATACAGGTTCCTTTACGTCTACCCCTTTCAGTTGAGTTCCTGAGAATCGCTAGTATGAACTCTTTGTAGTTTAGAATCATTGAATTTGAGGAACTCAGTAATCTAATTCAACCCCTTCACCTTAGAAAAGAGGAAAGCTAAGGCAGATAGGGTTAATAATTTGTTAAGACACTAAGTTTGTAAATACTGGATTCCTTTCTTCTGATCCATGGTTTCCTCACTAGCAGTGTCTCTAATTCCTAAATCAGTTGCAATGAGATGTCCACTAGCCAGAAAAACCTAAGCTAGATGAGCAGAACACATGAAAACAAGGCAAAAAAGTGTAGAAGATGTGTAAAAAGAAAAATAAGTTCTCACTGGAGAAAAGGTTATCTGTCCTATTTTGTTTTATCCACTACCTAGGGATTTCAAAATGAAGTTCCTCCAAACATAAACAGGAGGCTATCCCCATTACACTGTATCACAGCAAATTACTCGATGAACAAAAGGACTATTAAAAATTTTAGGGAACCCCAAAATATAGTCTGTAACGACTCCCTACGTTGTTTACCCAAACACTTCCTTTAGTGCCACGTTGAGTCAAAACCATGGATGCATTTATACAGGTTAAGAAAGAAAACTACGCATGTGAAACCTTTACTCCCTGACTGTTGCCAAAGCTGCTACAGAAATAAGATGACAAATGTTTAAAATGAATATTTCCATTCATCTCCCCTCAGAGTTCAAAGGACTCTTCATTTTTAACAAAACCCATATGCCAAAAAGGGTTGGTTCTTTCTTCACCAAATCGACAGAGGGCCCGACTTAAATTTGCTTTATTTAAGATTTCTTAGGGTACGACGGAAATGCTTACTCCTGTTGTCAATGTCACTTCTCTGCTGGCATTTATCTGATGGAGCGCCCTCCCAGGGCCGTCACAAGATCGCTCAAAAACAGACTCGGAGAGGGATGGACCAGCGGGACACCACTTACCGAGAACACTGCATTCTGGAGCCCAAAAGGTATAGGGGTGAGTCTGGCCAGCGCCACCACTTTCAGGCCGCTCCCTCCCTCCACGACGCGGATAACGGCGCTCAGCTTCTCGCTGCTCTGAATCTTGGTGGCCACCCAGGCGGTGAGCAGCCGCTTGCAGACCACATGGGCGATAAAGGTGCCGATGAGGACGCCCACCACCATCAGTCCCATGCCCAGCACGAAGCCGTACAGGTAACCGGCGGCCACGTTGAGCACGATGTAGCCCCAGCCGCAAGGGGAACGAGACCACGATGAAGCCCACGACGAAGAGCAGGACCCCGAGCAGCGAGTCGAGGCTCTCCACCCAGAGCAGGAGGTGCTGCAAGTAGCGGCGGACCAGGGCCAGGGAAGCGAAGCACAGCGCGGCCAGCACGCAGACCAGCACCAGGCTCCGGCACCAACAGGTGCTGCCGAGGCAGCAGCAGCGCCAGCTTCTCACCTCGGCCACGCCGACCACCACGCC